GCAGCAGCTGGCACACCTCCTTACGCAGGGATGAGGTTTCCTCGGCCAGCCAGGCACCCAGGATCCGAACCGAGGCAAACACGAAGGGTTCCTTCTGTTTCTCTGGCCCCACCTGTTGCCACAGGACCCCTCTGAGATAAAGCAGGACTACAGACCCTCCCCTGTTTTACCAGTCTGCTGGCCAGCCTACAACTGGAAGGGAATTCTGGCCTGTGAGCCCCTCAGAGGTGGGCACCAAGCCTCATCCCACCCCATGTACCCAGTACCCAGCAAATGGGAGGGACAAACCCAACAAAGCAGGCCCACCTTGCTGAGAACAGGCCCCACCTTGATGAGACTCAAAGTGCATCCCCATCTCTCCACCGCCAAGGGAGCTCAAGGCTAGGGGGAAACTCGGGACTACAGCTAAGTCACATTCTACAGAGACTCTTACCTGGGATGGGAGGACAGGTGATGCCATGAACATACAACCAACAGTGGGAGGGGGGATGCCCTTTTGGGCTAAATTACAAAATGAGACCAGAGCTTAGCATGGTCTGTTGGATGTGTGGCTGGTGAATTCAGTGGCTGGTGAATTCAGCAGTTGGAGCAGACCATTAAAGAGAAGAGAGTCATGACTGAATCCCTGTGGGACAGGAGAGTGGGTTTCTCAGAGGGAGGGAGGAAGGGGTTGCGAATGGGTGGGTATAGATCTAGCTGAACTCCTAGAAAGGCCAGGAACCAGGCAGCCTTGCTCCTTTTTCCTGCACCGCTGTAAGTTTGTATGTGTGCATATGTAAAACAACGCCCCGGAGCGAGCAGAACAGCCTGCTTCAATTTTGTGTGTGGTGTGTAGTGTGTGTACTGGGGAGCACTGTGTGAGTGGGAGGTTACTGTGTTGTGTGTGTGTGTGCTGGGATGTGAGTGCACATATGGTGTGTGGTATGGTGCTTTGTGGAGGCTTTTGGAGGGAGGGAGAGGGAGCGAGGCTCGGCCACACACTACTCCTGAGTGCTGCTGCAGTACCAGCCCGCCCGACATGCAGCTTGACTGTCTCCTCATTATACCCCTTTTCTTTGYCTTCTGGCTCCTGCCCTGACTCCCGGACACTGGGCTCCCTCTGTAAGTCACTACCCCCTTACCTGCTGCAAGTAGAGGATGACAGCTCCGATGGCCTCCTTCATGATGCTTACAAGCTGCACCTTCTGTGGCTCCTTAAGCAGTGACTGCTCGCAGCGGGTACACTCCTGGATCCCCAACTCCATAAGGGCATAGCAAGCAGTCACCACATCCTCCTTCACCTCTGTGCCTGTCTCCTCCAGGCCTAGCCGTACCTCCACACATGCCAGATTCACCAGGAGGGCCAGGAATTTGCTCCCAGAGCTGCCCGCTGGGATCCAGTCGGAGCCGCAGGCGTGTGCCAGGCGGGCTGCCAGCTTCAGGGCAGGGTTGCGTTGCCAGGAGCTCAGCTTGCTTCCCAGGATGCGCGCCAATCCAGCCTGCAGATCCCGGAGGCATTCAGGGGGCACGGTTGTTGGGGGCAGGAAGAGGGGCAGCAGCTGGCAGAGCTCAAACTTGCTGGCATCCTCGGCTTTCTGGAAATCCTCACTGAGGCCCCGCAATACTGCCAGCAGGTCGGGCTCCGCCTCCTTCCAGCACTGTGTCTCTGCAGCAGCCAGCAACCCCACCAGGAGTGCCAGGGCCTGGTCAAAGCCATAGCCATGACCCAGGTATGCCTGACATAGGGCAGACACGGTGCCACCAGCAATGAGGTGCCGGGGCCCTCTGGGTGTGCCTGCTACAGCTGTCAGGCACTGGTAGGTGTCATCAATCATGGAGCGGCGGGCAGCATCATCAGGGTCCCCCCGGGCTGTGAGGAAGGTGCTAAGGATGGGGATCTTGTTCAGGACCTGGGGATGGGTGGCCAGTTCAGGGTCACTGCAGAAACAGGCCAGCAGGGCCACACCAAGGGCACGGAGAACGTGGTCAGGGCAGCCATCCGGTGCCTCCTTGGTGGTTAGGAGACGGTTGGGGAAAGTGAAACCAACGGCATCAAAGATCCGCCGTCGGGTTTTGGCATCGATGTCACCTGCTTTTACTGCCTTGGTCACCTACAGGGGAATGGGGCAAGTAGTACATGCTATCAGCAGAATGAAAGGAAGAGGTGGCAAGGACCATCCCTTCCCTGAACCCTGGGGCACTGAAGACTAACAGGATTAGGTTACGCAACAGAACTCACTCTGGGATCATCTCATCTAGCTCCTTTTTCAGGCTAATGTGACTTCTGGGATCCCTCTCACCTATGATCATCCCATGACAGGGAGGTCTTGTCCGTCTCTACCACTCATTTGGGCACTTCGTTACCTGGCCAGTTGAGAAGTTCTTCTTGATATCTAATCTAGATGCCCACAACCTGTGTTGGAAGGAGCTTAGAACTCWGTGTTTAAAATCCCCCAAGGATTTAGGGTCCTTCCCTAAATGCTGTCTCCAGATAAGTCTCTGATCCATTTCCGCCACCTTCTCAGGGGAAATGGCTCCTGTGTCTCRCTGCTCTGCATGTCAAAACATTTCCCCTTACATTTCACCTAAACACCTCCTCTGCTGCAGTGTGAGCCCTTGACTCCAGAGCCTTCTCCCTGTTGCCATGGCAAACAAGCAGCGGCTGTACTCCCTCCTCCCTTTACCCCCCACACACTAGCCCCCCCTTTCTAGCACTGCAGCTCCTGTTCCACTGTCCCCAGCTTGGGTTCCTCCAAAAGGGCTAAGACCCAAACCAGCTCCCTTACCTTCAAGCTACCTACTGCAGTCCTGGCCATCCCTTAGGACCCTTCTTTAATCTCTTCCCGTCCCGCTACTCTTTCAGGTCTCAGAAAAATCATCCCCAGCCCTCAAATACTTTGCACTAGTTACTACCTGCTGCTGTTACCCTATGAGTCAGCTCCCATCTGCTCTGGGACACCCCAGAAAGCAAACTCAGGCAGCCTCCTCCAAGGACCCCAGTGCCACAGCCTTATTCATCTGCATTCTCCCCTTTGCCCCGAGTCTAGGGGAGCAAAATAAATACAAAGGTAGGGATCTTGGCACTCCTTTGGTGTTTCCAAAGTTGTTAGCACCACTATATATCTTTGGGGACTGGCTGATTCCATTCCTTGGGGGCCCCGACCACCCAGTCCTTCCCATCTCCCAATTATCCAACTCCTTACTAGCAGCAGGGCTGCAAACTGTTCGCTGTCATTCTTGGCCTCACGGAGAGCTCCCAGGTAGCGCTCCAGGGTGGGGTTTCGGCTCTCTGCCTGGTTCAGAGCTGGCTCACAATCCGAGGCCATGATGCCCGCCTTGCCCAACTGTGAACACAAGAGGGACTGAGCATCCCTCTGCAGAGGAGGGGYGGGGGCGGGGGCAGGGGTGGGAGTGGAGGATGGAGGGAGGGATTAGCACAGAGGGAGAGGAGGGAGGATTTGGAGAAGTGGCTTCCTCAGGACTGACCTCCCTTGGAGGGGGGGACTTGAAAAGGCTGGACCTGCAAATCCTTTGGGGTAAAGAAGGGACCCTGGTCCAAGGTCACCTCCAGAAAGTGGGAAAGGAGGACTGTGCATCCTGCTGCTTAGTTGGACAGCTTTCTTCAGCAATCTCCTGGGAGTGGAAGGGGGCTGGTCCCACTGCTTAGTGGCCCCCTGACACATAAAGTCGGAATTTATCTCCCTCCCAAGGCGCACAGGGAGTAAGTGGTGAGGACAGACAGGGAGGAATGGAGACACACATGGTGAAGTTCGATTATCCGGACTGACATGGGGGAAAAGGGCATCCTAGGCTTCCTTTTTCCCTCCCTTCTTCAGATGAGGCAGGAGATAAGCTTCAGCAGAAGTGAGAATTCGAGCTCGAGCTCACCAGGCAAGGTTTGGAGGCCCCTCTGGGGACCCCACCCCTTCAGCCAAGGCTCTCAGTCGCCCCCGCAGGCTCCTTGCCTTCTCTCCTTTCCCTCCCTCGGGCAGAGGCTGCAGGAGCAGCAGCAGCAGCAGCAGCACCACCACCAGCAGCAGCATTAACCCTTTACACTCCCTGTCCTCACCCTCCCTGTCTCGCTACCAGCCTGAGGATGATGCGTAGGGCTGGAGAAGCAAGAAGGGTCGGGTAGCTCCCAGGACAACAGAAAATCCAAAAGCCGGATAATCGAAGCGGGGCTGCTGAGATGGGGAGATGAGAAGGGGAGGAGGGTTCTTGGCGGTCACCACCTGTCCCGCCGCAGCCAGGTCACAACACGACATTGATGAAGTCACGACAGAGCGGCGATGAGATCACACCTCACGATGGCGCGATGATGTCACGGAGATCACAGCAAAATCACGACATGGGGACAGCCCCCAAAGATGACGGGGCAAATTAAAACAAGATGTGTATTGAAAAGGGCTGTGACAAAATGGAGTCTCGACAGGGCACGATGGTGTCGCGATATAGTGCGATGGAGTCGCGATAGGGTCCCCGGGGTGCGTCGGCATTGATGAGCGCCGGTTCGGAGAGGCCCGGGCTGGGATGCAGGGGAGGGCCTGAAGGGGGCTGAGCTCACCAGGCTGCGGCCCCGAGCGTTGAAGTCTTCTGCGGGCGCGATGCTGCCGGAGCTTGGGGCCGCTGCTCACGCCGCGTTGCCCACTCCGGGCTCCGGGCTGCTGCAGCTCCACCCCCACCCCCGCATCGCCCTCGGCCAATCCGCGGCGGCTTCACTTGGGGCTCTGGCCAATGGCACGGCAGGGCGCTACGCCGTAGGGGGTGCAGCCATTGCCGCCATCTTCCTTGTGGGTATTGCCTGAGTCTGGGCCTTGGGGCACGTGCAAAGAAGGCAAGGTGCAGACTGCCCCAGGAGAGCGGGAGGCGAGAGGCTGGGGGGGGGTGTCCAGATTCCTTTGCTTGTGCGTAGTTCTACCTCCAGCGCTACCCCTCCTCCCCCTCGGGCTCGCGGCTGGAATTGCGCTTCCGGAGGGTGGGGGCGGGAGGGCTTGATTAGCATGAAGAGTGTGTTTCCGGGTTGAGCCCGGGGAGGTGGGAGGAGGCGGCGTTTCCGGCCGTCGTCGCTGTCCAGGGAGGCTGAGACGAGAGGGAGCTGTCCGGGTGGGGAGCCCGCACTACCTTCTTCCTTTTCCTCCTCCCCCGGTGAGGGGAGAGAAGGTTGGGGCCCCGAGCCCATGGACTGGGAGGAGGCGGAGGCCGCCGAGAGCCGGGGCCCCGCTATGTGCCCCTGAGCCCCGGTAGGTGGCCGGGGCGGCTGGCTACCAGGCCGAGGACCATGAGCTCAGGGGAGGGGCAGGTGGTACAGACGATGCCTGGGGGTGCACTGACCCGCAGTTGGGACCCGGAGGTGGAGCTCCTGGCTGGGACAGGGCAGTCAGCTGCTTCTGGCCTTGCAGTTGCGGAGCTCGAGTCCCAGACCGAATCCCGCTTCTTCTGGGCCCAGGTCTGGTCCTGCAGCTCCCTCCATTCCCTGACAGTCAATACTGACATACCGGGCTCAGGTCGCTGCCGTCCTTCTAACACCTCGACATCTGCAGCCTCTCCTTTAGCTGCTGTGTTTGATCATCCCACCGAGACTGAAAGTTGATGCAGAAAAAGGGGGGCGGGGTTGAGCATGATGTGTAAATTACAATGCGAAACCAGCCTCGGTCAGGGTTTTGACAATTATGTCCCGCAGAGGGTCCTGTGGTGGCTGCAAGTGACTACAGAGGTGAAGCCAAGGAAGTCAGAATAGAAACTCTCAGCGGGGTTTGTCTTCTCTCACCTCGTGATAGTTGGGCTCATCGACTTTGGATGCTGTTAGTAAAGAGCATTAGTCGACTCTCCTTGTGCTTCCTTATGATTCACAGACTGGTAACTAGGAACAATTTAGAAAGACGACCTCCCAGAACAATCTGTTCATTTTTCCAGCTATTTGGAAAACAGTGTCTGCAAATATAAGCAAAGCTATTCATGGCAGTCTGTTCTGTAACTTTCCCAAATATCTGAGACTTTTTTTTTCTTTAAAGTTTTATTYTTGATTACTCACACGCGTTGAATAGGCTTTTTCAGACGTGCTCTGTCGTTGTTCAAACATATCTTATCGCTGTGTACATAAATGGAGTTCCACGTATGTAGCTGACAGACTGAACTATGATACATCCCCCATCAACCTGAAGTATTAAGTAAACATTACCCCCTGCTCTGTCTGAACAGCTGCTGCAACAGAGAGTGCTTTTATTTCAGTTGTTCTTGTAACGCCCTAAATGCCAGAACTATTGGGAGCTTTTCTAGATTTTCATTTGTCAAGTATTGTGGGGGTGTGTGTTCTCTCCCTGGGTTGTTATCCTTTGATTCCATAACAAACCATTTGGATCTTGGTAATGTGTTGTTCCTGCCTGTGGTCAGCAAGCCTTTAACTGGACCCTAGCAGTGATTTGTGCCCATAGGCAATTGTAGGTTTCAGTAGAAGGACTGGTTAGGTGTTCAAATAGAAATAGATGTACCTCTGTTATGCACAGTTTGTAAGATATTGCACTTCTAATCAGCTTGCTWGTCCGATGGTGTTTATTACTCCTGTTTTCAAAGCCTATTCATTTCTTTTTCTGCTTTTCCCACCCACCTGCCAGGCTATTGATGACAGGTGTTGAGTCACCTTGAGTTTTAAATCCTTTTGTGGTAGGTAGAAATATGTTGGGTAAGATCTCTCTCTCTCGCACACACCCATTCCAGCTTGGGAGGCTACAGAAGTTGCTGGATATACTTTCTAACTTCAGCTCCATTTCATAATCTCTTGAGTGTATCTCTGGCCCACACATCTGTCTGCCCCTGCCCCTTCCCTTCTCTAACAGAAAACTATGAAACAAACTAGAAATAGGAATTGTCTTCTCTTTTTTTTTTTTTTTTTGGTGCTGGGGATGGAGCCCAGTGCCTCATGCTTGCTAGGCAAGTGCTTTAACACTGAGCTACATCCCCAGCCCCTTGATATAGGAATTGTTGGAAACTGGACACGAAAGATGAAGTCCTTCATATAGTTAAGGCTCAGTGAAAACCTTTTCTTAGRTGTGCTATACCTCAGTTTTGCAGTGGTGTGTTTATGTTTGTTTCCTGGCATTAGCTTTGAAATCCAACTCAGGTAATGCTGCTCTGGATCCCTGTATGCTAGCTGGGGGTGAAAGTTAGGGGTTGTCAGTCTGTGTTGTTTGCCAGATATGGATGACAGGCATACATATATATTTAAAAATTTTTTTTGGTGGGGAGGTACTGAGGATTGAATCCAGGGCCTTACTCATGAGAGTTCCACCATTGAGCTATACCTGCAGCCCATTTTATT